TGCTGGTTGTCACAGGTGGGGAAATCAAATGCGTTTCTTATTGCTTGGGAAGAATTGGATTCTCAGGTTTTGTTATTTCCATGTAATAAGGGGAAGGGGCTGTTTCCCAGTATGCTACTGAGTGGGAAAGGGTGTAGATGTGTGCTGAGGGGGAAGTGAAATTACAGCAGGTCTTGGCCCCCTTCTGCGTCCAGGGCTGCATGCAGTCATCTGCCTAGGGCAGCTCCCACTACCACTGGGGCACTCCACAGCCCCTGTTTGAGGGGAAGGCTTACATTTCAGCTGAGTGTTGTTTCCATGGAGAAATGTAGTGCTGTCAGTTCAAATTTTACCAATTCTCTGTATCTTGTACTAAAAGGTTCTAATAATAAGTCTCTTTTTAAAACTAATTCCTTACCGAGAGTTCAGACACACTTGCACATGTGAAGGCTACCACAGGTCATGGCAGACAAAAGAGGAAGATTGCATTTTGCTTGGAAAGTGACGGATACAATTAAACACCTTTTTACGTGGAAAGCACTTGTAGCTTTTACTGGCTATTTGTCAGACACTGAAAGCATTTCAGAGTAAGTAGGAGTGCTGTGGCGGGAGATGTTTCATTGCAGAGACATTTCCAGAGCACCAGCGCGGTTGACGAAGTTGTAATGTGTGCACGTGTTTCCTTTTCTCCTCTTTATGGTGTGTTAGCGCACTGGCCAGTCTTGTACACTGCAGTGGGTTTTCTAGCGTTCTGTTGCGTCTGCATTTTGAGGCTGGGCCTGTGTGATATCTTCACTTGACATAGGCTTTACTCTTTCACTTCGCTGTCCAAAATAGGCATTTGCTGAATTGTCTTGGATTTGAGTAAAAGCAGTCAAGTCCCCTTCCCCAGTATTCAATGTGTGTGTGTGGGGGGGAGCCCCTCATCTTAGATTTGAGTACAGGGTGTAGGGAGGGCTGCTGCTCTGACTCTGGCCTAGGGTCCGGAGTCAGAGCTGTAGCTACTGCCCCCCACCACTTGTCTCCTGCAGCCTCTGCTCCCTCCCCTTCTACCCCCCAAGCCCACACTGTTGCCACTTACCTTCCCATTGCAGCTCCTGTTCTGGCTAGGGCCCTGCTCTGGCCTGGAGAGCAGGACACGTGTAGCTTTGGCCCCTGCCCAGCCATGCAACAGTGGTGACAGTGGCGGTAACTCTGGGGCTGGGGTATCTGCTGCTGCTGCAGCTGCTGTTGTGTGTCTAGGTGGGAGCTAGGCAAGTGGCAGGGGCGGAGGTGCCAGGTGGGATAGGTGGTGTGGGGCAGTAGGCAGCAGGGGGGATGAGGTGGGGAGGGAAAGTGGCAAAGGGCAGGTGGCAGGGTACTTGCCTTCCTGCTGCCTGCCCCATTGCCACTGCTTGCCTTGCTGTAGTGGTAGTGGGGACGGCTTACTTAGGATGACCCTTCAATAATTAGATTCTGTGCATGGAAAATTATAACAAATTTGATATATTTTCCATGTTTATAATCTAATTATTGAGGGAGTCCTTTTAAATTTGAAGTTTGCTTGGATTTGGTTAAACACGGTAGGAATGATCTGACCATGCATACATATAGGGACCTACCTAAATGGCAAGACAGAGGGATTTTTGCAGGCCGCTCACAGCATGTGGAGCCAGTGTAGCGTTTTTTTCATGGCAAGCCCCCCACCTCCCTTGCAGCTGATTGACCAGGGGGCCCCAGTAACCCCACCCCTTGCTGCTGATCGGCTGAGAGGCCTATCACTCATCTTCAGGCTGCAGCATTGCATCTGGCTGCTTAAACCCTTTCTTGTTAATGATTGGCGCCTTCACTGAGTCTGTGTCACTAGCTTGTCTTCGAAGTAGCTCTCTCGCAAACCATGTGCTCTGTGGCTGCAAGGATTGCTGTGCTTTCTTTGTACTCCAGTTAGCTTTTCTTTTTGGGGCGTGATTCGGCCCGAAATGATGGGAAATGCCAGTTTTTGCTGTGATTGCGGAAACTGCCTTCAAAATTATGAAACCATGATTTAAGTAAGTCCTTAGATATACACTGTGTGATATCTTCTTTAATTACACGGTAACATTTTATTCTCCAAGCTTCCCAGCTTCTTCACTTTTAACTGCATCCTCTACCTCTGCCTGGTACTTCTATGGATGAACTTTGCCTCCCTGTACCAGTGCTGGTAGCTTGTTTCTGTCCACCCAGTTTCTTTGTCTCTGGTAGCGGTAGGCATCTTTCTGTCTTGTGAGGCAATAACATTATGCTGGTTGAGACCTCAATTCACTGAACATAATCCTTGCTTGAAAGATACAGTGAAGCTGGAGTGACCTCTCCAGCACGCACAAGCCTGGGCAGTGTATATGGAGCTTTGCATTCATAGCGAGTAGCTTCATTTTCCTCCCCGCTTGTTCCCTAAGGGAAATTATTGAGAGCACAAGAGAATATGTGGTAGAGACTTATATCATCTCATAAATGACTTTAGAACAAAGGAAAGGAAATACTTTTTCACTCGGGGTATATTCAACTCTGGGAGTCCATTGTCAGCCGTATTCCAACTGTAGTCTGGAATTTCCTGTTACAGGAGGTCACTGAATCAAATACTGTTGCCTGAATCAAATATTGTTGCCATATTTAAAGGGATAGTACGGACATAGAAATCATACCTGTTTCTAAAATAATTTTATCTACTTAAAATTCGAAAGAAATTACAAGGGGACTTATAATGGTTTTATTTTGTGTATTCTGTGGCATTTTGAGTATATTCATTCTGTTTCCTCTCTTGTTTGGGTTTTTCTAAGTGATCCCATTTCTATGATCTTCTAACTTGAGCACATAATAACTGAAATCTTTGCCTTTGATGCCTGTAATGTAGTCATAATGCTTGTGAAGAGTTAAAAATCTTTCAGTTGCTAAGTTTGAGATTAGTAGCATTTAGGTTTTCTAAGTCGTATCATTTTTCACACTACAATTTCTTTCCTATCCCAGTTCTCAAAACTGCCACTTTCTCATTCAGATTACTCTTAAAAACTTAATGCAGTGGCCATATGAAATGAGTTATGATTCTGTAATGGAAACTACACCAAAAGTCCCCATTTTTAAATTATCTGTACATTGAGACATCCTTGCGCATGATCTATTGTCTGTTTTATAGACTCTTCACTCTGTGACAGGGACTCTGTTTGTTTTGTGTATTCTAGTTTTTGGGTCTGAAATATTTCTGAATATTTTGGCTAAATCCTTGTTGACCTCTAAGTTGAATCCTATTCCACCCTACTGGAGTCCTTGAAAAACTGTTTGTGTGTCAACTTTTTTAGCATGTCTACATGTTCGGTCTAGGACAGGGTGGGCAAAATGTGGCCCCCCAGGCCATTCTATCTAGCCCACTGTGCCCCTAAAAAAAAATTTAGAAAATGTAATATTTATCTGCCCCGGCTGCCTGTCATGCAGCCCTTGATGGCTTGCCAAAACTCAGTAAGTGGCCCTCTGCCCGAAATAATTGCCCGCCCTGTCTAGCAGAACTCACTCCTCTTTTGTGTCATTGGTTTTCTAGGGACTTGAGCAAAAGTACGATAGGGATCACACTTAAGTGTCTTCGAGATGAAACAGGATTTGGGCCTTCATGCTTGGAAATAATACTGCCTCTGCATATTTGCAGTATCATTTCTTTCTTTTCCTCTTTCCTTATTTTAATGAAATGAAACACATCTGCCTTCATAGAATAGCTATTTCTTAAGATTTCATCTGTTCCTTCTTGTATTTATTCCTAAGCTGAAGTTGCCTTCTTTGGTAACATTGCGGTTCCTGTGGCCATTCATCTTGAGGTCGCAAAACTGCTCAGGTCATATATTAAAGAATAGAGAGCAAAAACAGGTACAGTTGGACAAAACAGTTACCCTTGTTCTCATGCTGAATTTTTTTTATAATAAAGAATGAGATGGGAAATGCATAAAATATAGGAGCAGAGCTGTTTCTAAGTAGAATTTTGGTAGCACGTTTCCCAAAAAAACAATTGTAGCCCTTTGAAGGATACGTTTTTTTTTGAGTGGTGTTTGAGTAACATTTCCAGTAGTTTTGATTCTTTGTGTTGGAGTATGTGCCTGTTCATCTTTTGTTGTTGATTTAATATGATGGGCGTTGCAGCGCCTTTGACTTTCTTCATTCTTGCCCACAATGCCCTGTGAGATAAGAGTTTGTAAGTAGTTGTGCTAGAGATCTACATGGTTAAAACAAAATGGTGTCAAGGGATACAAAATACTACCATTTTAAACTTACGGTTGACGTTTTAGCTTGCTCAGTAATGAGCAGAAGTTACTACCATATGTGACCAATTGCGTATCGGCACATATCTAGTGGACAGATACCCAAATCATAACTACGAATCCATATTTGGCATCTGTATCAAAAGGCTCAATAGAGGTTAGGGGCTGAATGACGCACAGGAACTGAACAATTCCTAGACTATTCCTTCCAGATCAACACTGCGGCATGTTGGAGTAACAATGTGGAAAAAAATGTTTGCTGGTGCTTTTAATGTAGTTCTGTGGATAAACAGAGAATCTGAATCGCCTAAAGAAAGTCACATGAGTCCTTTTGTAGGAGATAGTTTTAATAAATTGTTATACTTAGCAATTATATAGCACTTCACATCTCCAAAGTACTTCACAAATGTTAATTACCAGTGGGTTTGGGATTCATATTTCCATTTTATGGTGGAGAAACTACAGTGCCGAGAGAGTGAGTGACTTGAACCTGGTCATGTGGAACATCATTGGGAACATTTGGAAGAGAATTTGGGATTTTGTGTTGAATTCACCAGACTGCCTCCACATCTGTCCACATAGAATTTATTACCATTGTACGAAATTACCCTATCAGTCAAATTAATTGAGCCAGAAATGAGTGACAGAAAATCTTCCTTTCAGTGTAATCAAAGCAGCAAGCTTCAGATAAAAACAACAACATAAACAGAACTTGAGTTTTGGCATCTGCTTTTCTAATGTCATTTTTTGTTTGTTGCATTGTAGAAAGGGGAAATGGAGACTGGGCCACATGAAAGAAAGAACATCATGAAAAAGTAAGTCAAAACTGCACCATTTCCTATGACATAAAATAGCTGTTTATATAGCAAAGGAGGGGTGTGTACAGCCATTACATTTAGATTGACCTAACTAGGGTGATGTTGATTGAAATGCCCATCTGTGCAGGCATTAAGGGGGCTTTAAATTGCCCCCAAAATGGTGGATCTGCTTTAAGTTAGTTCACCTGCGGAGGTGAACTATTTGAGATCTGGAACAGATCAAGCTGATCTAGAGAGCGCCTGTATACATTCAGAGGACAGCCCTAGGGCTGGGCAAGCCCACCTGTTTGTCCCAGCCCTGGGGGTTTGCTTTTCCCACCTCTCACCCCAGAACCCTGACTGGGTTGATTTTAGCCCCCTGACTCTCCCACCTCAGATGAACAGTCCTCCCACACCCCAGACCTGCCAGCCAGCTCGGATCCTACCAGTCCGCACCACCCCTTCCCCCTGCCGCAAACCCTCCCTGCAGACTCACTAGCCAATAGGTGCCAACCTGTTTTTTGCCTGGGGGTGCTTTTTTTGTTTTTGCAGTCCCAAAAGAGGCCGTATAGTACTTCAACCTAGCTTACCCAATGTGGCTCATGGGTCCTGAGTACCCACTAATTTTTCTTGGTGGGTGCTTGAGCCGTAGAGCACCCATGGAGTCAGTGCCTATGCACTAGCCGCACAGCCTGGTCCTAGGTGCCCCTCCCTCCACCTTGACTTGTTTCTACCAGTTTCCCCACGCAGCTTCTGGAAGCAGCTAACATTTGTCCATGTGACTCATGGTCTATGTTCACATGACTTAAAGCAAGCCATGTGTGAATGTAGACTGGGTGCAGAGAATGGCTGTATGCACCCAAGGCTAATATTTTTCATGTGTATTTCACTGGGAATGTGGGGAATAGCAGATTCAGTT